TTGTCCTTCTCTGGTCAAATTAAAATAAATAAGTAAATAAATAAAATTAAATTAAATAATTCTTTTTAAAAAAGAAAATGAGTGGAGTCTCTTCCCTATTGTATTTTATAGCAAGTCTTTGCTGATGTACAATAAGCCACTGATTTTTGTTTTTTGGAGAGATTTTCACTATAGGGCGCGTGCACTTGCCAGACAGACAGAGAGAGACATAGAGACAGAAAGCGAGAAATCACCTCCCAGGGGGGATGGTCACTCCGCAATCCCTTCTCCTCCATTCTCCTCTCGGGATTTTGGGCACACATGCACACGCGCCCGGTGTGAGTTCTAAGCCACCGGGTCCGGGACGCGAACCGCGGTCGACTATGTGGGAATCCAGCGACATAGCCATTACGCTAACTGCTGGTTCCCAATAAGCCACTGATTTTTACACATATGGTTACACTACCTATACGAACATTCGAGTTCTCCCCTCAGCAGGTGATAAGCTTGTTTTAATAATACCATCAAAATTATTTTTTCCTCCTTTTTCAATATTGTTCTCAAACCTAGGCACATTCATGTGACCATTGTGGTAGAGTCAAACATTCTTTGAGAGCAGAAGTGATTTTTAGAAGCAATTAACCGTCCTTAAGAAGATACCATGAGCTGATCTTGGTCTTCCCACCCCAGGTTCCGCCCATGGCCCCTCATAATGTGGCTCCACATGGTTTTCCCCTCAGCCCTGCCCTCCAGAATCCACTTCCTACTGGGTTTGGTTCCTGGGAAGCACAGGAGGAAGAACAGGACAGGACAAGTGAATACATTTCTCCTTTTTCCTCTCTCTTTAAAAAATTTTTGCCAGAGGAGGTGTGTGCTCACTGGAAAGAAACAGAAAGAAAAGTGAGAAAGTACCCTTCCCCTCCTTGAGGCATGGTCATACCACAATCCCTTCTCCTCCATTTCTCTCTCCTTTTGGGATTCTAGGCACAGGTACACATGTTTTGAGTGTGTTTCTCAAGCTGTTCGTTCCAGGACTTCAGCTACTCAGTCAGCCATGTGGGATCTGGTCGCCTTAACCACCACACCAAAGGCTGGCCCTCCCCTTCTTTTCCGTTTCTTTTTCTCTCCATCAAAGTTCATCTCGTCCATGACTCTTACTCTACCAAATAGATCCAGTAGCATAATCACATGTATAAAAATCAATGAGTTGCTTATACCAGCATGGACTTGCTATAAAATACAAAAGGAAAGACACTCTACTTAGAATAGCGACCATGTATATAATACCCAGGAATAACTCTAGATAAGAAATATGTGGGACCTATATGAAGAAGATGACAACATTTTACTGAGAGGCATTAAAGAAGACTTGAATAAATGAAAAGACAAATTAATGCTTCTGGAAATATTATAACAATTGTTAGTGCTCCACAATTTAATCTATTAATTTCAATTACCCCATTTTATATAAATTATTATATTATAAAAATCAATTTAATGCAATTCTATTGGAAATATCAATGGGACTTGGAAAGAACTAAACAAAAAGATTCCAAAGTGTTTCTGGAAGGATCAATGCTTAAGAATAGTCAAATATATTGAAAGAAAGGAGAGTTAGGTGGAGGAAATTTTCCTACCAAATTAAAAGGCCTGATAATGTGACTTAAGTCAGAGTGAGACTGGTGGAGAGTTAGGCTAGCAGGTTATTGGAAGATAATATATCATCTAATCCAGCTATGTATGAAAATTAATACACTGATTCACATTGTTCACATGGTCTTTATCAATATATTAATAGAACGTTTGGAAAAAGGAAACTTAGAATCCTACTTACCCTTGTGTAAAATATATATCCAGATAACTCTCTTGTCAGAAATTTCAAAGGCCCTGTGATTTAAACATCTCATTTTGCAAGTTATAAAACTGAGGTCTAGGGCCAGCAGGTGGCACCGTGGTTAAGGGCACTGAACTCCAACATGGCCAACTGTGGTTCGAGTCCCGGACCTGGTGGCTTGCTTTCTCAATACCCTCCCCCCCACACACACACACTACACACACACATGCACACACACTTTTCCCCTCTTTGATCAAAATTAAAAATAAATTAAATAAATAAATAAAGTTAAATAAAACAATTCTAAAAAAAAAAAACACCCAAAAACCCACAAACCTAAGCTCCAGAAAGAGGATAGGGCTTGCCATAAGACACACAACAAATTCGTAGCAGGGCCAAGAGCTCTTCCATTCTCATTTGGAGTCCCTTACACTAAAGTGTCTCCCTTCCAGTTCATTATTTCCTACCTCAGTTCTCTTCCCCATGAAGGATCACAGAAGCAAGGTACAGTTGTGTAGGTTCATGGTAGAGGTTCATGTGTAGGTTATAAACTGCACAGCTTCAGGAGGCTTCATTTACATCAAAGAGTACAACCTGCATGGGCATACTTGGGGCCCTGCTCAGGAAGATGGAGTTGTAATTTATTCATAAGGATGACAGTTAAATAAGCAAAGTCCTGAGATAGTGGCTGGTGTCTTACAAATGACCAATAATAGGTATAGATGTTAACAATCACCTTGTTGGAATTTATACGCATATTTGTGATGAGCTAATAGCTTCTAATGTCTGTATTCTCAGTCTAACCCCAGGTTGCAAGCTTAAATCAGAGATTTAAATTGCTGAGCATTACTGAGAATCAGTTTCAGTTGTTGAACTCAAACTTTCTGGAAATCAGTTCCTGCCATCCAGCAGCCTTTCAAATCCATGGGGCAAGGTATCTCTAGCCTCATGCCTTACAGCTATTTCATGAGTCTCTGTCTTGGATTTTCTCTCTCTTTTTCTCCCTGATCTCTGTTTTCACAAGAAACCAGTGAACTTCTAGGGTAGTACTGGTGGTGGAAGAAGCCGTTATTCCGTGGTTCTCACTGCCATTCCAGAAGCAACCCAACACATTTGGCAGGACCAAGATGCTAACATAGTTGATTGCTTTAAGTGAAATTGTCAGCAAAGTCAGCAGAAATCTCACAGAGCAGCACTGCCCAGGCTCTTCTGCCCATGGTTTGTATACCTGGCCATGCCTGGTGAGGAGGCAGTGAGTGAGGAAGAAGAGAGTGGCAGGGTGTTGTCTTAGTTTTATGGCATTCAACTCAAGAGCTGGGCCAGCCTCTGAGCTCTCCAGCACACCAGCCCCTGGCAGGAACATTTCCATACAGGCAGCAGTGCTCCTCATCCTCACCCTGCAACTGGGCCTTCTGTAAGTAGATGAGGAGATGGCCAAACTCCTCAATGTCCCCTTAGAGCAGAGAATAATATCCCAGCAGGAAGAAATTTTCAATATCTTGAGACTCAGGTTCTTTAGTAGTCTGGAAGCAAAATTGACTCAAGTGTTCAACAAAAGAAGAGGTTAGTCTCTTTTAAGATCATAGAACTCTGGGGTGTGGGGTTGGGGACAGGGGAGGTGGTTAGTGGCTGGCACTTGACTTTGAAGAGAGGCAGGCAGGGATTCCAGAAATCTTGGAAGGTCATTGGAGTAGACAGTCTCAGAGGCAGGGAAATCCAAACATTCACTTTGCTTAAATGTCTACCTGCTTTATATCTATGGGTGGGACTGGTCCTAGACATACCTGGATCAGCTAAATGGGAGGCAAACGAAAGTAGGGAATAGCTCTTAGAGCTTAAAAAGCTGCATTTCCATTCCAGCTCTGTCACCTCCTCCTGCTACTTGTTTGTCAAGTCTTGACTTTCTCCTCTGTTGCACGGAGACAATAAAGTCATTGACAATTGACCTCAAAGGGTTACTGGGGAGAAAAAAAATAAGAGAACATACTTGTGGTCAATTTTTCAATTATCTCATGTTATATAAATAATTATTTCAGACTGTTATAGGAAAATATTATGAGAAGGGAGTTCCAATATGCCAAGAAAGGGGGCATTGGACATATCAATTACTATTACCAGGGATCGCAGCTAGATCCCCTGGTGCCAAGAGAGGAGAGGTGATCTAGTTGCATTCTTCCCTCCTGTTGTTCCGCAAAAACACACAGGAACTCGTGACTCGTGCGGTCAACATTCTACTTCCTGCTAAGGGACATGAGCTGATACAAGTAGCATCATCCCTATGCAGATGCTCATATCTTCAAAGTCCACTCAGGTCACACATAACCGGGTAATCGGAGTCCTTACCAGAGGAGAGGTACACAAGATAAATAAAAATCCTCAGATTCTGGGACCAGCAGATGGCATAATGGTTATGTCGCTGGACTCCCACATAGTTGACTGTGGTTCAAGTCCTTGACCCAGTGGTTTAAAACTCACACTGGGCACGTGTGTGTGCATGCTCAAAATCCTGAGAGGAGAATGGAGGAGAAGGCTTTGTGGTGTGGCCATCCCCCCGGGGGTGATTTCTCACTTTCTGTCTCTGTCTCTCCAGTGAGTGCATGTGCTCTAATAACAAAAATCTCTCTAAACACCACCCCAAAACAAAAACAAAAACAAAAACACCTCAGATTCACACAATAACAGATCTCTCCTAAATATTCATGACAAGATCCTGAAATAAAAGAAACACCTAGCCCCATGCCTGGTCCAGTTGTCTTCCTTAGGTAGCTGCCCATTTACACTCTTCCTTCCTCTGTTAAAAATGCCTTGCTTTTCTATTAGACTTTTTTCTTCTTACTTTTCTCGTGTATGTGGCTTCTTTCTGTGTCTCAGGGGTCGCTAACTTTAGTGGCTTAGGTGCAAAGAATCGAGAATTTTACACAATGCAGTTCAGTTCCCTAGCCTGAAAAATGTGCTTACATGGAATTGTTCTACTTGTTCTGATATGCCAGGCATGGGATTAGATGCTCTTGTACATGAACTCATTAAATATGTACGATGATCCTGCACCTTCCTGTCTTTGTGACTTGGAGAAACAAGATGTTTTTTTCTCCCCTGTGTCGGGCAGTACTTTGTGTTCTTGAGAATTTTGTCAAGGGGGTTGTTATATTTGAGATTCCAATGGAGTGCAGCCGATGAATATGTTACCCTGAGATGATCACATCATAAAGCGAGAATGGATTTGACAGAGGACTTAATATGCTCTTCAGCATGCAATTGGTTTCACATCATATTGCATTTCCAAACCCTAAGAAACAAAGGATGCCTGTATTCCTCCCTTTCCTTTCCACCCCGTCAACAGCCATATTGACTGAACAGTGGCTCTTCAAAACGTTTGCTTCCTTCCATGAGGACACACCTCCTGTCTGAATCAGAAGGAACATTTGAGAATTCCAGGAACACATTTAGTCACTTAAAGTTAGTTGGTGCCATGAGTCTCTGGCAACTTGATAAAAGAGCTGGGAATTACAACAGCATACCTGTGGAAGCACACTGCCAGAAAGATGATTTCTTTCAGGCTCTGGTTTGGTTTCAGATTCAAAGCTTTTAAAATGTTAAGCTAGTCTAAATTGGGCTTGAGTTGGAAAGTGTTCTTTCTTCTTCCTTTGCCTATTGATAGCGTGTTTATTTATTTGTTTATGCTTAACAGAAGAAAGTCTCATTTAAAGTTTATATTCTTTCGAATTCTAGAAAATAGTATTAGAAAATTTGGTTCTGCTTAATCTTCAAGTGGCAAGAATGTTACTTATAGGTTCAACAAATATTTATTGAGATCCTTTTATGTGCCAAGTACTGTGCTGGGTATTGGGGATACCAGATTTATGGGTGGATACCTATCCAGCTTTTGCCCATTCATTCACTCAACAGCTATTTCTTCAGCACCTACTGTGGATGTCAGAGATTGTACTACGTGAAGGGGCATGGATTTGAGCAACAAAGAAAAGATAATCGCTTTTCATAGCCCTTAGAGTCTCCTGGGAGCTCTAAAACATGGGCTGTGCCTTTGAGAAGCTCACAGCTTAGTGGATGAGGCCAACACAACTGTACAACTGCAAATCACATATAAAGACTTTAATACATTGTGTAGCAGGCGGCTCTGCAATGCCTAAGCAAGGATGCAACCCATCATAAGGAAGTCTGGGATTGTCAATACTGAATGAAAGCTTTAGAGGCCTGAGACCAAAGTGTGAATTCCAGTTCTGCCTGGAGCTGGATCTTCTTGTTGGCCAAGGTCAGTATTTTTCAAAGTGTGTGGTGGTCTGTATATAGACAGCCTTGAGGTGATGCAGAGGCAGAGGCTGGACAATTTTAATAGTGATAATATATATATATAATACTGATATTATATATAATATACAATAAATAATTTAATAAAATAAATACATAGATAAATATACTTTTTTAAGAAAGATTTTTGCTATAGGACATGCACTCATGAGAGAGAGAGAGAGAGAAAGAGAGAGAGAGAGAAAGATAGAAAGCAAGAAATCACCCCCTGGGGGGTTGGCCATGTCAGAATATTTTCTCCTACATTCTCCTCTTTGGGAATTTGGGCATGCATGCACATGCACCCGGAGTGAGTTTGAAGCCGCCAGGTCCGGGACTTGAACTGCAGTTGGCCATGTGAAAGTTCAGCGACATAACCATTATACCATCTGCTGGTCCCCAGTGCTGACATAGTTTAGATGATACAAAAATATCATCTTTTACTTATGGTGGTTCTATAATGCTTCCTTTAAAAAAGTTCATTCTTTTCATGATAGAAAGGATATGTGAGTAAATGAGAAAGAGAAAAAAAAAAGGACAGACACGCTTGCGGGGTCTTGTTACACTGTACTCCCCTCCTTCAGCCCCCTAGCTATTTGGGATCTTGGGCATGTGCCTAAATACAGGGTGTATTTTCTGTCTGACCTGGGGGTCTGAATCCTGTCAGTCATATGGCCTCTAGCACAATTTGCTACTGACTACTCACCAGCCTGGGCCCTAGAATGCTTCCTTTAAAAATAAATTTATTTATTTAACAAAATTAAAAATTTTTGATTTAAAGGGGACTCTTAAGAACTAGAAGAGTGGTATATGAATGTGGCAAAATTATGAGTGGTACTTGCTTGAGGGAAGTTTGGGAAACGTTGGCCTAGAATGAGTTTCTTTTTTTTTCCCTATAGAGTGTATGCACTCACCAGAGAGAGACAGAGAGCTAGTGAGAGGGAAAGTAAGAACTCATCTTCTCCCCTGGGTGTGGCTATGCCTCAGTCCCTTTTCCATTCTCCTCCTGGGATATTGGGCATGCATGCACACTTGTCCAGAGTGATTTTCAGGCCACCAGGTCTGAGTCCAGTACCTTAACCATCATCACACCAGCAGGTGGCCCAGCATGAGGTATTTTTATTTATTTATTTATTTATTATTTGAGAGGTTTTTGCTACATGGTATGTGTGTTCACCAGACAGACAGAGAGAGACAGAAAGCGAGAAATAACCCCCCAGGGGGATGGCCATGCCACAATCCCTTCTCCTCATTCTCCTCTTGGGATCTTGAGCATGCATGTACATACGTGTCCGGCTTGAGTTTAAGCCACCAGGTCTGGGACTTGAACCACAGTCTTCCCGGACCTCCTGCTGGGAGTCCAGCGACATAGCCATTACGTCAACTGCTGGTCCCAGAATGAGGTTTTTCATGGTACCAGTTCTCCATCTCCTTGTCTGTGAAATGACAGTGGCTGTCTTACCTCCCAGTGGGTGCGAGAACGTGTGTGAAGATTCCTGCATGGCGCCTCTAGTGAGTGTGCATGTCATTATCTAAAATGATCTTGCTCCCCTTTCCATAATTCTCAAATTCTAGACACTTTAAAACAGAATGCTAAAAAAAGTTTGGCCCACATCGGTGTGTTTTTGATATAAATTCGCAGGTTTATAAGAAAATACGACTTGACTGATGTGAAACTCTCTGCCTTTTTATTTATCTCTCTGAGTGTAAATATTTCTATATGTGGTCGCGGGACTATTAATGTGTTTGACTGTGAAGCGCTGGTCCAGATTCTATGAAGTATAGTACATAATATGGTACCTGAACTGCATTATCTTTCTAGATTGTGAAAACTTCTCCATTGCCTACAACATCTGGTGTCAAGGGCTTTAGACAAGGATTTGCAGACTGTTCATTGTTTGTTTTCCCAGCCAGCATATCAACCCCAAGAAGGCAGGGGTCTCATTTTTAATTTCGTGCCATATCCCCAGGTCTGGACCAGAGTTGTCACATAGTAGACACTTAGTGTATGCGGATAGAGTCTCTCTGTGGTGAGGGGGTTTGTGGCAGTTCAGCAAGGGATGACTTTGGCTGGCTGGCTCCTTGTGGTGGTAGGTGGCCATGTGAGGGTCCAACCTGAGTCCTCTGAAACTGGGCTTACCTCAGAGCTTGGCTCCAAGAGTAATGAGGGATGGTGCAGACTGGATGTGGTCATCTAGAGAGCCCCTTTCAAAAGAATCCCATGTGGTCTCTGAAACTCCCAGGCCCTGGTGCAGATTCAATGCCTGTGGAGCATGTCTACAAGTCTCCAGTCTGCTTTCTAACCCAGCCCACCAATGTAGCACCCAAACCTCTGGATTGATATTTTCCAAAGCCTTTGGATGACAGCTGTCCCCTGGCTGCCCAACTGATAACCTTCCTCAGACAGCACAGGCCTCTTCGTTTGTGGTGGTGCAACAAGAGCATCTCACCTATAGCAGAGACCCGGTAAACAGTTACTGAATGACTGAATTCACAAACAAATGAAAGAAAGGATGAATCCCATCTGTCTTGGCATTTGACCTTCTCCCTCCATCCTGGCTTAGTGCAACACCTTCCTCCTTATTTCTGAGGGGCTGGCATGCGTGTCTTGCTCCCCATGTTATTTTGTAAGGTACTCAACAATCTTCGCGTT